AACATGAGAACATGAGAGCGTGTAAATAATGACAGAATTTAAATTTTTGGGTGAACTGTCCCTTTATTGACAAGCGGCAAGTAGCCTACGAAAAAGCGCACGTCAGAACAGCACGTGAATGTACTGTTTAACCGGCAAGGCTTTAAAACATGCAAATAATGTACTTTTGTGATTGCGAATAAGTGCCAGAGGCGACAGAACTGCATCTGATAGAATGTGCGCTGTAGCACGATACTACGATATGTCTTCAAGAGCAGACCATGGAGACATTTTAATCATCCACAATCAAAAATCGTGATATCGCACACCCCTATGTCAAAGCCATGACTTCCTTTTACATTTTCTCCTGAGTCACATAAAAATGTTCATTTTTACAATTAACTTCCACTTATATAAAGGTAACTAGATTTTTTCTGGTGAAAATGTGAGTGGTGCTTGGCTCTGTTGCAATCTGGTTGCTAAGGTGTTCTGATGGTTGCTAGGGCGCTGCTAAGTGGTTGCTAACTGGCAAATGCACCCACCCAATAGCCATTTGGATGGGGAAAAACAACATTAACCAATAATTTTCCACAATCCAACTAAACATTTCCCATTGTATATTCTTCTTTACTCTGAAATGCACTACCGTTCAAAAGTTTGGGGTCGATAAGATTTTTTTTTTTTTTTGAAAGAAGTCTGCATTTATTTTGATTAGAAATGCAGCAAAAACAGTCATATTAGGAGATATTATTTCCATTTAAAATTATTTTCTACTTGAATATGTTTTAAAATGTAATTTATATCTGTGATCAAAGCTGAATTTTCATCATCATTACTCCAGTCTTCAGTGTCACATGATCTTCAGAAATCATTCTAATATGTTGATTTGCTGCTCAAGAAACATTTCTGATTATTATCAATGTTGAAAACAGCTGTGCTGCCTTATATTTATGTGGAAACTGTGATACTTTTCTCAGGATTATTTTAAAGAATAAAAAAAGTTCCAAAAGAACAGCATTTATTTGAAATATAAAACTCTGAAACATTAGAAATGTCTTTACTGTCACTTTTGTTCAATTTAACACATCCTTGATGAATAAAAATATTAATTACAAAAAAACAACCAAAAACGGACCCCAAAACCTTTTAACTGGTAGTATACATCACACAATGGAAGTTCCCAATGGAAAATCCCACCAAAATCTGCCAACTTTTGTTGCTTTGTTAACAAAAATGCAGATTTTACAAAAGCATTTACAGTTCACTTGAATCATACCAGTTTTGTCTGTGAGCAGATAAGAGATCCGGCCCAGTTGCTCTGGTATGGTACTGGCTCGAACCACCGTCCCGGGGATTTTAGAGTCTTTCTTGATCATCCAACTGAACACCATTTTGCCCATGTCCAAATTCACACGCAAACTGCAAATAAAGCATAATGAGTGCTAGACATTTGTGATGCCCGATACTAAATTTCTCCACCGATATCGATAGCCGATTATTCAGAATGACATCTGGCTATACCAATACCTACAATTAGTTTTTTTTTAAAGAAAAAAATCTCTCCCAACTAATGCTGTAAACAAAGACAGTCATGATTCCTCAATTAAATTCGAGTACTCGATTATAAAAAAATCCTTGATTGCATTTTGCTCATGTCGATTAATCAGCAAAATAATGCATTCCACGGACGAGAATCCATGAAAGCAATTTTAAAGTCTATTGTTCGCTTAGGTCTATTTTTATTAACAAAAAAAAAAAAATATATATATATATATATTATGCAATTAAAAGTTATTAAAAAGTTCAAATGTTACAAATAAGTTACAATATTGATGTTTTAATACTGGTTGCACTAATATAACAATGTTATGATATATGTTACAATAAAGTAACAATTTTGAAATATGTTGATATTTTTTGTCTTTTATCTCAATATTCCTATCAGTGTTGTATAAGGGTTTTTATGTTTAATAGAGAATGTGATGAAACAGAGTTTAAAATGTGTCCATAACTGGGCAGAGATATATATATATATATTAATTTTGAAGACTGCAGAAATATTTTAATTCAGTATACCCACCGGTCACAATTGTGACCAACCATAAAACACACTTTTCCATAAAGATTTTCAAATATTGATCATTTCAAAGGGTTACTAATGACACATCATTTGGATATTTTCATGTCTAGGAAAAAAATTGGGATTAAATGGGTTATTTGACAGAAAAATCGACCGATTACTCGATTACCAAAATAATCGTTAGTGACAGCCCTACAGTAAGCTATACAGGGAATGTTACGTATAATATTAGAGGTTAAAATTAACCACTGAGCCCGCAAACTATTATTAAACTACTTTTTTAATAATAATAGATATATATTATAGAAATAACAACCATACTCAAATGAAAACTGAATTGTTTGTTTACAACTCAACTGAGTAAAAACATAATAAAAGTTATCAACCCCCTTTTGATTGACAGCATGTAATCGTCCCTGATCATCGGCTGTTTTTAAACAATTAGCTAATTGCTTTTATTGGCTCATACCGTTTATTGGCCCATACTTTGGTGCATCCCTTTAACGGTTTTTTAGCCACTTTTAGGAGAGAGCAGCAGAAATTATAGAGGAATGAGATCAGGAAGCCTTGCTAGCTACATTCAAAACTGTATCGCCCAACATGCATTAAATCTTATCAAATTTAGGCAACAATGTGTTTACTGTTGGTACGGTTTAATAATCTCAAAATGCCAAATTTCAGTGGATTAATCAGGCAAGCATTACTGGACATTCAATATGAGAGATATCAAACTATAATTAAAATGTTCAATCTTCAAAATGTCTGAACTTATTGCTGTTTCCTTCAGTAACTGTCAAGCTGAAGGAAACAGCCTCAGATTTGACAGACATATAGAGGAGAATAAACTCCTACCTGATGGGGACGATGTTGGAGAAGAGCAGAAGAAAGCGGAAGATCTGGAGATACCAGCGTCCAGCGAAGTGCTGCAGAGCCACCATGACCAGTGAGACCACCACCAGAGCGCCAAACAGGATCTTAGTCAGACAATTCACTTCCAGGTCAATCAGGCCGATCTGCAACAGCACATCACATCCAGTATGAGTGGGAGACAGATTTATCAGTTTTGGACTTGGTTTAAAATGATGCTGACTTTAGGATACTTGCTAATTTTACCTTATGTCTTGGGTTGGAGGTGTTCATTACACTGCGCAGCTCTTTACCGGTGTAAATCACCACCCCAACCACGGTGCCTTGGATTGGAGAACAAAACATGTTTGAGGATTATCTAACAAGCTTTTCTAAGCTTAAAAAAGGAATGGTGCTGTCCACATTATAAGATGCCTGAAAAGCATTAAGCCACTTTGAGTCCCACCAGGATTTTGCAGGACCTTTTTTCTCTTTTTTTATTTGCTGCATTTTTTGTTGTTTTTCAGTGAAAACCCACCAGTAATCATGATGTACTTATGTAATTAGTGTCAGAGACAGTAAAAGTAGAATTGTAAATATTACTTCATGTTTTTACAATTTCAAAATTATATCATAGCCTATTGTTGTAATATAATTTTTTTGTAGTATTATCAGTGATTGCATTCACTTGAAATATTAAAAAAGTGCATATCCTGTAAAATAATGTACTTATTTGAATCTAATCTACTGGTGAATTTAGATATTAGCATCATTCAACTAATGAAATAAGACAGGAATGCAAGCTGCTGCTAATAATGCACAGTTCACTTGATTTTGCATTCAAATCTGTGATCGCAAAATCTGAATGTGTGCATATATATATATATATATATATATATACACACACACACACACACATGCAGGGGTGCACATAAGTGGTGCGCAGGTGCACATGTGCAACCAAAATAAAAAATGCACTGTGTAAATAAGTTCAGACCACTCGTGTGTACCGACATGGTTGACAGCCATTAATGCACAATCACCATTTAAGATTGACTAACTGTAATGCTGTATAAGATTTCCATTCAAACTGAAAGCTTAAATCTCTGCTATGTGCTGCCTGTCACCTTGGTTTAGTTGTGTAAGTTCAGTTTGGCTTTAATCTACTCAATTACCAGTATTCGGCTGGTTTTAAGAGTATAGCCCGCAGCAAATCACTGGGTGGTGCCCTGTGGCAGCTCTGACCGCCCGTTCCACCCGGCCTGACCCTCGCTTCACTCCCAGCTCTGTTTGTAGTTATTAGAAGATGAATTCGCCATGCTATTAAACTCAGCAGATGTTTCAAAACATTGGGCGTGACTTCGGTCTCTCAAATGTGGGCTACGCTTTTAATCAATTAGGCTTTTGCTATATGCAACCCATAACCCACATGCAAGCTCTAAATATTAAACCAAATTGGATTTTCCACAGATTAGGGTTAGAAGATCAAACATATTACATTGAAGGTGAAATACAACGCTTGCCAGAAAGTGGCAGATAGATGCTGACATAATTGATTTATCAAGTCCGAATAATTCAAATACTTCAAATCTGACATTTCCCCCCCCCCCCCCAAAAAAAATATTATATTGATATATATATTATATTGAATTTGTGCATAATTTTCATGGCAATCAAGCATACTGTCCCACCGATTTTCATTACCATAATGCAAAACCTATAATAGTTTAATTTATGCACATTTTTAAAAAGCCATTATATTTAAGTAACAGCAACATAATTAGAATAATATTAATTACAATAATAATAATTTTAATTGACTTTGAAGTCAATTCCAGGTGCTATGAGATGTTAATGAGAATTTGGTGAGGAAAATAATGCCATAATGCATTTCATTATGTAAAACATGCAAATACAAATTACAATAAAATTATAATTAAAAAAACTGAGACATTTCACCCCAAACATAAAAAAAAAATATATATATATATATATATATATATATATATATATATGTAAAACATGCAAATACTATTATAATAAAATACACTGTATATTTCTCTTAATATATATACACTGTATATATATTAAGTTTGGGGCGAAAAGAATGTGATATGGACATGCTTTCATTAGATTCACACTTGAGGTTGAATAATAATAAAGTTTTTTTTACAGTGCTTTTTTAACAAAACCAGATTGAGCGCAGCCTGTGTGAGCCATCTTTCTGTGTAAAATCACCATTTTTAAGAAAATTAGCCTGGTGGGTAATTGGAGACTCTCAAATTTCATGTTCTCAGACTTCGCAGAGGGAAACCAACAGCGCAACTCCCTTACAATAGGCTTCAGTCTGCATGGCAAAAAGGCAAGAGTTGAACAAAAGGCAACACTAAATACCAGAGTGGAATTAGGCAGGATTACTAATAACCAACCACTGGCCTCGGGTCACATGCTTCAGTCATTCAAAATGATTGACAGCTTTTTCCAGCATGAAATGCTCATAGACCTGAATGGTCCATTGGTTACTTTAATAAATAAATAAATACAATACAAATATTCTATGTTCAATTTATAGATATATAATCAAATTAAGCTCTAGTGTGGCAAAAACCATAGATTTTTGTTTTGAAAATGCACATTCAAGCACTATTTTCATTTTACATATACATATTAAGCTTATGTTATGTCTTCCTGCCCCACGCAGGGGTCAGATTGCCTTAATCTCAGGGGAAGGTAAACAGCTAAAGCATTGAGAGGTATGAGATGCCATTTGTCAGAAGATCTCAATTCCTAACAATGAGAGAGCTGATTAGCAAACCAACCTTTTCAACAATGATAAGATCTCCAACCTGGATGCCACTACTTTTCACCTTCACGGAATTCAAAATTCACACTACAAAAATAAATAAACAGATCTGTAACTAATCGCAAAAATTCTGAAAGTGACCACATGTTTTATAACACACACTTGCATAATGAATGTAAAAAGTTATATCTATGGCAAAAATCAAACCAAAAAAACGACAAATCTATATCTTGAATTGAACACACACTGCTAGACTTTCACAAAAACATTGACATGTATGAGAACAACGTTAAAAAGTACTGAAAAGTACTCTACAACAAAAAAAATTAAGCTGAATTTTCAGCACCATTACTCCAGTCTTCAGTGTCACATAATCCTTCAGAAATCATTCTAATATGCTCGATATTTCTTATTATTATCGATGTTGAAAACAGCTGTGATGCTTAATATTATATAAAAACGGTAATAAATTTTTTCAGGATTCTTTGATTAATTCAAAGTTCAAATAAACAGTATTTATATGAAATTAAAAAAATATGTAAATTATATTATAAATGTCTTTACTGTCACTTTTGATCAATTTAATGTTTCCTGCATAAGTCTTTTTTAAATATAAATAAAAAACAAAAGAATCTTACTGACCCCAAACTTAATTTTGAACCATATTGTATATCATGCTTTAAAGAAATCATGCTATTACCATAGTACATGTCCAAAAAAGCATGGTACTACTATGGCACTTTTTTGTTAGTGATATTAAAGGATTTCTTCCTTTAACATTTTCAAATTAATTTCAACATATTTCCATCAACTATGAAACACACATATGTGACCCTGGAGCACAAAACCAGTCTTAAGTTGCTGGGGTATATTTGTAGCAATAGCCAACAATACATTGTATGGGTCAAAATTATTGATTTTTCTTTTATGCCAAAAATCATTGGGATATTAAGTAAAGTTCATGTTCCATGAAGATATTTTATATATTTCCTACCGTAAATATATCAAAACTTAATTTTTGATTAGTAATATGCATTGCTAAGAACTTCATTTGGACAACTTTAAAGGCGTTTTTCTCAATATTTAGATTTTTTTTTTTTGCACCCTCAGATTCCAGATTTTCAAATAGTTGTATCTCGGCCAAATATTGTCCTATCCTAGCAAACCATACATCAATGAAAAGCTTATTTATTCAGATTTCAGATGACGTATACATCTCAATTTCGAGAAATTGACCCTTACGACTGGTTTTGTGGTCCAGGGTCACATATTGGCTCAGGTAGCAAGCACCATTCAGCTAGAATTACATGTTTTGACGATGCCAAGCTTCAAGTGTTTACATTAAACCACCTCTCTGTTTGCTTTTTGTTATATGACAGAGTTCTAGGCACTCATTTACAAAACATTCAGAATTTAACTTTATCATTTGTCCTTCAAAACATTCAAAATAACCAGAAGGCATTTGCAATGCAAAATATTTTTTTTCCATAACGCAATCTGGTCAAGGTTGCTTTTAAAAGTGGCACTCGGCACGGCGTGAAGAAACAAGACTTTTACATTTTGTGTAAACGTAGAAACTCCAAGTTGCTAGGGTGTTCTGGGTGGTTGCCAAGACATTGCTACACTGATGCGAAAGTGTTCTGCGGTTGCTAGGGAGATCTGGGCGGTTGCTTTTTCGTCAAAATTAAAGATTTTGATGCAAGTCTCCGAGAGTGTCTGAAATCAAAACTCTGCTCACAAAAGCAACACACCTCGCCTAAATGTTTCAAACTGCTCATGGTTGACCACCAGAGCAATTAAAAAACATGTTAAGCAACATAAATCGTTGCTCAACACGTTCTTGAATTACTCTGGTGGTTAACACCAACTTCTCTCTGAACGTTCATAGTCACTCACCCCTGGCAGGAAGGTGAAGAAATTGTATTTCTGGTTGTTTATGACATTTCTTGGGTATCTCTGCTCTCTCTTTTCTGGATGGCCCAACCACACGGTCCGAGGACGGAAATCTCCCCCACCGCAGCATCTGGACCATGGGCAGCACCTAAATACACAACATCATCATGAACGTGTGGCTTGATTCACAAAGCACTTCAAATACAGATACAGAAATGGAATAATGGATGCTGGAATTTCACTGCAGCCACAGAAATATTTTCAAGCAAGCAACACAAGCGTGTCAGTAAATATTAGCTTTCACCATCTACCTCTTACCAACACCTTCATCAAACAAACTCTTATCAAGAACTATATATATATATATATACTGGGTATTTTACTTCAATATATGTGAAGCATAACTGAATGACAACAGCTTGTAGAAAATAAAACTAAACTGACATAAACTCAATTTGTGAATTTAAGACATTTAGTGAATCACAAACCCTGCATTTGTTTGTTTTTTTTAGTACATGAGCTATATCTGTCTTGAAACTACATTTAGAAACAAAAAAAAGATTACAGTTTGGAATTAAACAGACATTTTTGTGTTTATTTCATTTTTAATAATACACAATCCCTGTGCTAAAGTACAAGTACGGTATTATTTGTAATTGTATTATTTCTC